AGCAAGAACCAAAGCAGAATTTAGTAATGTGGACTAGATAAACATGAGAGAGGATATTCAGAGTCCTAGGACTCTCCTCTGGCACATGGGACACTGAGCCTATGGTAATAAGTTCCTGGGAATTCCCATTATGCATACATTCCAACTGAAGGCCTGTTTGTGCTGAGCAGGGCTGGCCTACGACATGGAGGTAGCTGTTTGCAGGCTGAGGACAACAATGGAGATATCCTGAGACAGGCAATGAAGTTATTGTCACATTTACTCATTCATTCATTTATTCATCACATGCTTACTGAGCATTTATAAGTTACTATACCTATATTAGGTGTTGAAATATAATGCTGAACAAAATGGGAAAGCTATCCTTTTCTATCATGCATGTGGACATGTCCTCCCTACTATGTACAAGGGAGAAAGACACTTGGCAGACAATCACATAACTAGGCATATACTTACAAATCATAAAAAAAGGTTTTGAAAATTTTTTTTCAACGTTTATTTATTTTTTGGGACAGAGAGAGACAGAGCATGAATGGGGGAGGGGCAGAGAGAGAGGGAGACACAGAATCGGAAACAGGCTCCAGGCTCTGAGCCATCAGCCCAGAGCCTGACGCGGGGCTCGAATTCACGGACCGTGAGATCGTGACCTGGCTGAAGTCGCACGCTTAACCGACTGCGCCACCCAGGCGCCCCCCAAAAAAAAGGTTTTGAAGAAAATATAGAGAGTGCTAAGAGACTGTAATAGAAGAAGCTGATTTACGTTAGGGTAGTAGTAATCGTGCAAAGCCTCTCTGTAATTTCACATTTAGATAGAAGTCAGCCAGGAGGGGAAAAAGGGGTAAAAACAGTTTCAGTATAGGGCACAGTATGTCAAAAAGTAGATGATCAGGGTGGTTAGAGCATAGTGAGTGATTTCCTTTTAAGTAAGTTTAAGAAAAATATATAAACTGGAATAACAAATATATGTAATTAATAAAAATCTGTGTCTCAATCTTCTCTATTATGAAATAAACATTTCTGCTATAATTGCAAAGCGCAATGAGTCAAACAGTAAAACCAAACTGTATTTGCCTTGTTTTGTGTATTTTTATTGAGCTGCCTTCCAAAACAGACCACTGGGGATTATAATCTGGTTCTGTTTAGAGGGAACCCCGTCTTCCCTCTCTGCCCCACACACACACACACACACACACACACACACACACACACACCATTCTTTTCGTAAATTGTTTAAAGGGTATTTAAAATTGATATAATCCTGCCACTAAATTCAATTAAATTTTCTCTAAATTTGAACCCAGAGCACAGGGAGTTACTATATTACAACAGAGATAGCAGTCTATGAAACTCAGTACTCAGGTTTCATAGTCCACTTCCACTTCAGCCCCATTCCATTCAAAATGGCTGTGCTATCCAAATGAATAACTGTAAGAATGAAGATGAGTAGTTCATCATGAAGGTGATGAAATACTGATATTGATCTTCTGTTTTAGGACAATTTAACATAAGGAAAAATACTTTAATTTTTAAATAGGTGTGTATAAACAAAAACAACCAAGTATTCCTGCAAAATATAAAAAGCAATCACTTAAGTGTATGTTATTTTGTCTCCAAGGTCCAGGCAATTTTAATTACAATCTTCCACAGTCTCAGCAATATATCATGCCAAATAACTACTTGTGCTTTATAACAGCAGTGCCTCTGTATGTTTTTTCTGAACTTAATAAAAAATAGGAACACAGAGCAAAAGAGAAATCTGGGTACAAATCAATCCAGGTACTGAAAATGTTATCAAAATCAACATATGAACGCACATGTTTCTTAAACTTTTTGAAAATTCATTCAATTAGTTGTTAAAGCATAAATTCATTTGTGTAAGGAATCCTACCATGCACAGAGAAGCAAGGTAGAGTGTGCAAAGATCACTGGAGTAGGTGATCTGGGTTCCAGTCCTTACGCTCACACTTTTTGCAACACAGTTTTGGGTAAATCATATAATCCTTCTGAGTTGGAGTTTTGTCATTTGCAAATGCGGTTGTTATGAGGTTTGAAAGACAATAAATGTGGAAGCTCCCTTGATAACTGTCCTCAAGGGAACTCAGAGCCTAGTGAAAACCTCACTAATAAATGTTTTCTCCTTTGAACGTTGGTTATAGGCATTTGAACATTGGTTAGGCATACATTTTGGGGCTAGCAATTATTTTAAAACAAGGAATAGAGTTAGAAAGTGTCAATACTTCTACTACGGGATTAGTGGGTCAGTGTTACAATGCAGGACTCCCCTGCTCCCCACCCCCTGACATAATTAACAATATTCCTTACATGCTGTCCCTCTGTCAAAAGTTAGTTGGGATAAATATCACCTGTCTTGGAAATACCTTCTTACAGACTCAGGACACAATAAAAGTAGGAGGCAAAAAGGAGACTGATTTCTTTCTTGGAATAATCTTCTAGAAGTGAAGTTACTAGACCTAGCTCTTGATAACATGTAACTAAATAATGCCCTTCAGAAAAGTGGTAACAGTTTATGTTCCTCTACAATACTCAATACTCAGGGATATTCCTGATTACCAGTTTGATTCACTTTTTACTATATTCCATAAGGTAAAACCACAATCCACAACATTCATCTATTTTCTTCCCTCACAGTATACTACTGTCCAGATGTGCACGACAGGATGGCACAGGGGGAGTGTTTAAAAGTGCCTTCAATGGCTTATTGTTGCTTTTAGGATAAATCCAACCTCTTCAATAGTTTACATGCTCAGGGTGAAGTGGCCTCTTCTTCCTTTTTGAGTCTCATCTCTCACTACTAACTTCCTTCTTGAATAGATCAGCTGTCTCTCATGTTTAGGATTTTTGACTGGAGCACTAGATTCTAGAGGGAGCCTGGTGTTCAGACAGCATTTCTGACAGTGAGAGCGAAAGTGGTCCCCTTCATGCAGCTAAGATTCAGACTGACTACGAATGTTTGTGGCAAATATAATCATTTGATTTGTCAGTCACTTAGGGGAGCAGGTTTTGAGACAGGCATTATTCTCTTAGAGGGGAAGACGCTTGGAGAGGGTACAGAATGAATACCTAGGAGTGCTAACTGCTCTCCTACTTCAAGCCAAATAAATGAAGATATTTTTCTACACTCTAGTTTTATGAGAGAGCTATAGAATAAGAAGATGATTTAAAAGATTTGCTGAGAAAAGTAATTCAAGTATAAATGATTAAATCTTTCACACTTTATATACCTAGATGGTATACCTTCTACCATGTGACAGATTAAAAATTTTTAATATTCTGATCACCAAGAAGAGTTGTTGAAATTACTTAAAAACTTGTCATCCATGTTTTTTAAGGGCTCCTAGTAAGAAGCTACAGTTACACTGGCACAACAAATTTCCTTTTAATGAAAATGGCATACAATGGGTTGATTTTGTTAACTGAATGTTCTGGCTAACAAGATTCTCAGTCTCCACAGTGCTACTGTCCTACTTTCTCATCATCCACCTAGCCTGGGTATAATGGCTTTGACTTTGGCCTCCTACCTCTTCATTAGTGCTATGCAACAGAGGGATACAACAAGCCACTCTCATCATTTCAGTCCCCAGTTCAAAATTCTTCAATAATTTTTTTTTTCACTGCAATAAAGAGCCTAAGTACTTTATCTTGAAATTCCTGATCTAAGCCCTGCCTACTTCTCTAGGCCCATCTACTGCCCCCTCCTCATGTGCTTTCCCTCTGTTTTTAGTGAACTGGTAATTCTGAGCATCATGAAGTCCCTGGGACATACCATATTTCACACAAGAGAATGTGGTACACCTCCATATACTTCTCCCCATACTACTGCTACTTATCTTTCACTCTTCACACAAACACTCCCCATTCTAAATCTTTTCTCACTTTCCCAGAAAGCTAAAGCTGCCCCCCTCCCCTAACCCTCCTACACTTCTTGTACCCACCCATTACAACAATCAATTTACATCGGAACTCTTGGTGTTTCTTTCTCTCCATATAATAATGCGCTATCTATGTGTTCTCAGTTTTGCCTTGAGCACCATGCTCCAAGACTAATAGGTAAGAGATGCTCATTTTTATTTTTTTAGTTTTTGAAATTTTTAAATGTTTATTTTTGAGAGAGAGAGACAGAGAGAGAGAGAGAGAGAGAGAGAGAGAGAGAGAGAGAGACAGAGAGAGAGAGAGAGAGAGAGAGAGACAGACAGAGACAGAGAGAGCATGAGCAGGGGAGGGTGAGAGAGAGAGGGAGACACAGGATCCCAAGCAGGCTCCAGCCTATGTATGAGCTGTCAGCACAGAGCCTGACACGGGGCTCAAACCCACGAACCATGAGATCACAACCTGAGCTGAAGTCGGATTCAACTGACTGAGCCACCCAGGTGCCCCAAGAGATGCTTACTAAAAAAATTTTTTTTTAAAACTTATTTATTTTTGAGGGACAGAGAGAGACAGAGCACAAGCAGGGGAGGGGCAGAGAGAGAGAGGGAGACACAGAATCGGAAGCAGGCTCCAGGCTCTGAGCTGTCAGCACAGAGCCCGATGTGGGGCATGAACCCATGAAATGCAAGATCATGACCTGAGCTCAAGTCGATGCTTTAACCGCCTGAGCCACCCAGGCACCCCGTGATGCTCATTTTTAAATGAAATCATGAATATATTAAAAATCCTATCTTTAATTTGAACTTGATAGCCATCCATTTACTATTTATTATTTTAGGTGATTAATCAACTAATTAATTATCATTCTCTGTCACTTTGAGCCTATGATTTCATTAAAAAATTGAACCTGGTACAACATATGAACTCACTGAACAGATGAAGTAAAGAACAAATCAAGCCATCAAGGTTTTTTAAAAATTTTCTAAACTTAGGATCTTTTGTGGAAATCTGGCAAAGGGATAAAGATACAATATCTGGAATTTACCCCCAAAGAGTCATTTGCCAGGCTCCCAATAAAAGCTGTAGCACAGAGTCTTTGAAATTTTACTTACGTGGTATAGTGTGGTCTCCGGCACAGGCGTGCCCATGATGTCCTGTCTCAGTGCATCCATTTGCAAACTAGGTAGCAGTGAATAGTGAGTTGGGCTATTACTCTTATCACTCTTCTTTTTAGACTTCTTCCCTGTGTCCTTCTTGCTGTTTCTCTGAAACATGTATTCTTCTTGAGCAATTTTTTCATTGCTCATATATCGGAGTAGAGAGTTTTCTATATAAAAACAGATAAATACACCAATATAAATATGCAAATATTCCAAATTTACCATTCTCTCCTAATTGTGCTATTAGATGTCATTTCAGAAATGTAACAGGATTATTTATAAAATACCTATGTAGTGAAAATATAGAGAACCTTATTTGGGATCATAGGGCAATCAGAAATAGCCTATAGATTATTTCTCCAGATTTTATCTCTGGACCAACTACATGAGAATCACTGAAGCTTGAATCAGTAGTTCTGGGTGTGTGGCTCATACAATTTTTAACAAGTTCCCCCAGTGGGATTCTGCTAAAATTGATGACAAACACTGACTTCTAACTGACTAGGTAGCATTTTTAGACAACTTAAGGCCCACATTCTGAATCAGGAAACTCAGTTCATAAAATCTATGCTTACACTGATAGCCAGCACGTAGAACTTCATAAGGCATTTTTCCCCCAAGATAGCACTATCATATGAACTCCCAAAACAGTGACTCAGAAATGGCGTATGATAAGCGTTTCTCTTTTTATTTTTTCTTGATTAATTCTATAAAACAAATGAAGTTAGAAACTAAAGTTTGGAAAATGGAATGAATACATAGATGTAAAGGAATCTGTCAATGTTCCTGTATTCACTAACATTTTCTGAAACGCTCACTCCACAAAACCAGTGTTGAATAGACTAATAAAGCAAATATTCGTGCTTGGTTATCCCTGTATGGCAAATTCTGTACAGTGGCTAGAAATAACAGGCAAATGGGTTCAATATTTATGAAGGAAGCTTAGTGAGCTGAGGTTCTATGAATACTTTTTTGCTTTGTTTTATTTTTTATCTACAACTTTATAGCTCTCTATTTCTGAAAGCAGAAGTAGCCTACCATATCCACAGTTGGTCAAATCCCACTTAGTAGAGAGACTTTCAGAGGCTCTCTTTACAGCTCACCTCAATAGCAGGACAAGTGAACATAAAAACTTACTTTTGGTAGATACTTCAAGTGTAGCCCACCCCCAAGTAAGAAGATAACCCTGAACAGCAAACAGAAGAGAAAAAAAAGCAAAGCATTTTTTTTCCATTTCTATATGGTTTTCATTAGAGTCACTGGCCCAGTTTCCATTAGCTTTACTTATGTATGTCAATGCTCATTTTAAGATTTTACTAATACAAAAGTAATGAGTTTGCATTGCGGACCAATGGGGACTGATTACGATCTCTTCCTATTCACTGAACTTAACTCTTTTATGCAGTTTCACACTTCTGACCTTGTTTTCCAAATAGTAACTTTCAAATAACAATCAGATATTTATTTTTTAACAGTGTTCTTATCTACCCTGAATCCCTTAAGAGACATTCAGAGAAGATATCTATTTAATACCATATCAAGATAGTTAAATGCTGGTCTGAGTTGGTTTGGGTGTATCATAAAGTCAATGACAGAATAAAGTTTTCCACTGAAGCCATAACATCCTATTTAAGGAACATTTAAATTTGCTTTTTGTTCCAACAACCCAGCCTACACTGAAATTCTATAACACTTACCTCTTCTACTATCTCTCTTCATCTTATTTGGATCTTCATAGTCCCCCACCCAATTATATTCCACTGGCATAGATATAGGTCGTAGCTTGCCTAAACACAGAGAACAAAATTCACATCACATTGTTTTTCTTCCCCATGTCCGCTCAAACTTAACACTGATTTTTAGCTACAGTCTGCAAAACACACTCACCCATATGCAACGTTATGGTTGGCATTTGTGTAGATGAAAAATGTGTGTTTTGAGCCAGAAGGTGAAACTGCCTGTAGTAATTGGCCAGATGATAATGCAATCTTAAGGCATTCTTTTATAAATAATTAAGAATAGCCTAGGTTTACTTTCTTAGGAGCCCTTGACTTTAAGTGTATGGTCCTTTACAAAGAGTACATTATTTTAGGGATTTTACTTCATCTTCTGTCTTGTTCTCCAATGCCCAAGTGCCTACATCTTGATAGCCAATCTCCAAGATACTAGCCCCTTGCGTTTAACCTGCCTGCAAGGACATTAATCCACTGTTTCATGTTGAAACACTACAATGCTAACTTCCCATCTTGTCTGCCCCCCAACTCCTGTCACAATACATTCTGGATATACCACCATGCTTCAGCAATATGGTTAGATTCCCTTTTATGGCCTATAGCTGGCTCTCTCCCCAAGCATCTCTTTTGCTATTGTGAACAAGTCTAGTTTCCAGATCCAAGTAATCACTGCTTTGGTCTATTCTGCCTCCCCTCTAGGTCTATATTCTTACTAAACAGCATTTTACTTTAAGCAAGCAGAACTCATGGCACAGACTTCAAGGATAACTTTTTGGTGAGGCTTCAGTGTATTATTTTTGACCAACTTGAAATTCCTGAAGCACAAAAGGGCCAAAGAAAATCATACAAAACTTTAAAAAGGATACCGAGCACAATGCCTGGCATAAAATAATTGCTAAATACACTTTAAATGAAAAGCAAAGACACACACAGGACTGGATCATAACAATGATTTTGATGATCGTGACAACAGTACTAACTCATATATCAATACTAAGGTGCTTTTATAAGTATTAAATTGTTTAATCCTCATACTTATGAGAAATATATTATCCTTACCCTCATTTTACCAGATGAAGAAATTGAGACATGTAACTGGTTCAAGGACACACAGTTGGGAAGTATGTACTGCCAGGGTTGAAACTTGTGCCATGATTCTTGGGGACTTCAATATTCACCCTCCAATACTCTGGTCACTGAGTTTCTCGAGGTTCTCTCCTTCTCCCTTTCCCGTAGTCATATGCTTAATCCTGTCCTCTCCCAAGACTGTAATCCCTTCAAGTATCCCACTTTTCACTACCACCTTCTGTATTTCTAGTGCATCCCTACAGCACTCCAAGTCCAAATATCCTCCCCCTTAGTCTACTGATCTTCTCACCTTGCGACACCTCTGGGTCACTGTATATCCTCTTCATTTCCCTCCTTGACCAGCTAAATTTCATGATCAATTACTATGATCAGTCTATGTATTTAAAAAAATTCCATTAGGAGACTTCTAATTCTGTTCCTACAGAAAATGTAACCTTATGGATTTATATTATGTACAATGAATGATAGAGTTTACGTAGTATATTTTGCTAAGCTCCTGGAAAATCTGAAAATGAACTAGATATGATAAAATTATAAATGAGCCAAAAAAATTTGTGTTTATTTAATGGCTTCTTTTCAAAGTATGCAAATGAATTTATAGACAGTCATCTAAGATTCCAAAATTCTCATGGAGTAGATCTCTTTACAAAGGGAAAGCTTAGGGAGAGCTGATGCAGGTCGATATATTCTGTCCTTCCGGCGTGGTGTAAAGGTTTTAGGAAAGGTCTCCTTTGTCATGTCTATTCAACTGCTTGGCATATTCAGTTATCCAGATTTTCAATGTTCTGAATTCTGTGTTTTCAAAAGTACAACTTATTTCTTCAGAATTTGGTTTTTAAAATAAACTCATGGGGCGCCTGGGTGGCGCAGTCGGTTAAGCGTCCGACTTCAGCCAGGTCACGATCTCGCGGTCTGTGAGTTCGAGCCCCGCGTCGGGCTCTGGGCTGATGGCTCAGAGCCTGGAGCCTGCTTCCGATTCTGTGTCTCCCTCTCTCTCTGCCCCTCCCCCATTCATGCTCTGTCTCTCTCTGTCCCAAAAATAAATAAAAAAAATAAAATAAAATAAAATACAATAAACTCAATTTCATCATGTGCACTGAAACTGAAGCAATTAACAAGTTTAACACTGTTTCTACATGTCACTAAGAAAATCTTTCAGAATGTGAATAATGCAATAAATAAGCAGTTGTTTTATGTGCTCTATATCTTATTTGAAAGTAGTTAGATGCTTTTCAAAGAATTGATTGGTTGTTTAAAGTCAAATATATATGTACAAAAACAAGAAGAAACATACTTCACACACAGAATATGAAATACATAATTGTATTTGTTGTATTTTGGGTCATCTTTTGAGATTCTCAACAAGCTAAGTCATTGAGGTATGTAATTAAACTTTTGATATGTCTGGTTCTATTATTAACCACAGGAGAAATTTTGCAGAAGACTAAACACTTTTTGGTGATTTTTAAATAGAAGTATACCATATATTGCTAACATAAAATTGAGAAAAAGGTATTGAATTAAATAAAAAACATCAAAATCTTAATTAAAATGTACTTTTGTAAGACATCAGGCTTTTGCTTTTACTGATTATAAAGCTATGAATTTAGCAATGCAAGTAAAAATAACCATTTTTAGAAGTATTAGTTAATAATTAAGAAATCATATTCTTATAGCTATTGCTCCTTTTATAATTTTTTTTATTGCGCTGCAGTATTGAAACAGACTTAATAAGAGAATGAGGTAACATTCTTACATAAATAGCAGTCCTTGGCAAGTTGAAAAAGAAACAATAGCTTAAATTATTTCTAATTCCAAATACAGAGATCTTTGAGTGCAGCTTAGAAATGTTTGCTACTGCATGTATAGCAGTATTTTAATTTCACAAGACAGCAAAGTTCAAATGGAAAAACAACTTTACGGCTTGTTGCTGTAGTACTACTGGCTAAAAATAAAAGGGTACTATAAACATCATTGTTAGATTTAAATCAAATGTACACTATTATTAATATATGTATTTTAATACATACAAACCTAAAATTATTTTTAAATAAAATAAAAGTAAAAATACTTGTAGGTTTGTATGGTTTGTAAAGGCTTATTAAACACATTTGACTCATTCTTTATGTAACTGTACATAAATTAATAATATCTCTAAAAATAATCTGAAAAATTTTAAGACATCTCTTTAGGTAATGACACTTACATTTACTAATTAATGATGAAAATTAATAATTATAGCCAAGAACATAGTAAAAAAAAAAGAGCCCATTTAAGAATTTTGCTGACCACTACCTCATAATTTTTTTACTCCTCTAAGCACAAAGCATTTATTAACTGTAGAGTACATTTGATACCCTATCATAAGCCTTGTGATATCTCTGTGCTAGTGTCACACAGTTAAACTACTTTGTTACTTGGCTTTCATATCTATTGCACATCTGGACCTTTTTAACTTGGATTTACAGACAGGTGAGAATTGTGCACTGTGTATCTGTATTCTAATAAATGTAGTAGAGTTGAAAAATCATTATTTTTAGATTTTGTTTGAATTTTATTCTGAAATTAAAGGTAAGCAGTCTTTTTTATTATGAACTATATTTAGCTGTAATTAAACACAAATAGAACACTAAATATAATTTTAAGAACACTGACAAGGATGAAGTACTTTATAATGATCTAAAGTACTTGTTTTAAAACGGAATTGCTATGTTTTAATACTACTGTACAGAATTGCTTGAAAATAAACTAACTTCTTCCTTAGATAATAAAGCATATTTAGTGCAGTTGCAAATGCCACAATGCCCTTTGGCAGAGCTAATTGCCCACTGTCCTGGGCTCCTTCCTAGTGCTTTTGGTATATTTGTATTATTATATATTATTAAACTGTATTATATATATCTGTCTGTTAGAGGTTTTTCTACTTTTTTTTTGCAGAAACTAGGTCTTAGGTATCTTTGTTATAAGTGCTGCTGGCAAATACTTTGACCCAGAGCAGGTATTGAGTAAAGTTTTTTTTTTTTTTTGAATGCTTGAATGGAAGGATACTAGACATTATGGATATTCCAAATTACTGAGCTGTTCACTGGATCCTAGTCTCTCTTATTTACTCAAAGGTATCTCTTGAACAATGTTCGTTTCTTTCTCCTGCAGCATCAATTTTTCCCTTTCTACCCAATGATTCCAATTAGCAAAGAAACATGCTGTATTTCTCCAATTTTGAAAAACCAAAATGCCACCTCTCTTCACCCACAAACTACCACTCTACCACCTCATTTCTCTGTTCCCCTTTACAGAAAAAAACTCCTAAAAGCCTTGTTTATATTTTCAGTCTCTAATTCCTCTCCTTCTTTCTTCCGTAGCTTTATTGAGGTATGATTGACAAATAAAAATGTTATATATTAAGGCCATACATACAAAATGATTTTTAAGGTGTGCAACATGATTATATAATATACATATATGATATGAAATGATGACCAAAATCTAGGTAACACATCCTTCACCTCGCATGGTTACCATTTATATGTGTAGTATATGTGTGGTGAGAACACATGAGGACTACTCTCAAATTTCAACTTTAAAATGGAAAACAGTATTGAGGTTCCTCAAAAAAACACAGAACTATCTTGTGATCCAGCAACCCTACTTCTGGGAATATATTCAAAGGAAATGAAATTAGTATCTTGAAGAAATATATCAACTCCCATATTCATTGTAGCATTATTCATAATAGCTAAGATATGGAAACAATCTAAGTGTCCATTAATGGATGAATGGATACAGAAAATGTGGTATATGTATTCAACAGGGTATCATTCAGCCATAAAAAAGATGGAAATCTTCAATCTGTGATAACATGAATGAATCCAAAGGACATTATGCTAAGTGAAATAAGCCAGACACAGAAAGACAAATAGTGTAGGATCTCACTTTTATGTGGAATTTCCTCCTCTCTCTTTCTT